GGAAAGACTTTTAGCTTTTCTCCATTCAGTATGATGTTAGCTGTGGATTTGTCATATATGGCCTTTATTATTTTGAGGTATGCCTAGTTTGCTGAGAGTTTTTATCATGAAGGGATGCTGAATTTTACTGAATTCTTTTTCTGCATCTATTGAGATAATTGTATGGTTTTTGTCCTTCATTCTGTTGATGTGATTGAGTTGCATATGTTAAACCATCCTTGCATCCCTGAGATAAATCCCACTTGGTCACGGTGTATTTATCTCTTTGATGTGCTGTTGAATTTGGTTTCCTATTATTTTGTTGAAGATTTTCATGTTTATGTTCATCAGGGATATTGGCCTGAAGTTTTCTCTTTTTGTTCTGTCTTTGTCTGGTTTTGGTATCAGGGTAATGTTGACTTTTTAGAATGAGTCAGGGAGTATTGCCTCCTCTTCACTCATTTGGAATAGTTTGAGAAGGGTGGGTATTAGTTTCTATTTTATATGTTTGGTAGAATTCCACAATGAATCCCATCAGGTACTGGGCTTTTCTTGTTGGGAGACTTCTTATTGCCAAGTCAGTCTTGCTACATGTTATTGGTCTGTTCGTGTTTTCTATTTCTTTTCTTTCTTTTTTTTTTTTTTTGAGACAGAGTCTCACTGTGTTGCCCGGGCTAAAGTGCCGTGGAGTCAGCCTAGCTCACAGCAACCTCAAACTCCTGGGCTCAAGTGATCCTCCTGCCTCAGCTTCCCGAGTAGCTGGGACTACAGGCATGTGCCACCATGCCCGGCTAGTTTTTTCTATATATTTTTTTTAGTTGTCCAATTAATTTCTTTCTATTTTTAGTAGAGACGGGGTCTCGCTCTTGCTCAGGCTGGTTTCGAACTCCTGAGCTCAAACAATCCTCCCACCTCGGCCTCCCAGAGAGCTAGGATTACAGGCGTGAGCCACCGCACCCGGCCCGTGTTTTCTATTTCTTTCTGATTCAATCTTACTAAGTTGTATGTTTCCAGGAATTTTTCCATTTCTTCTAGGTTTTCCAATTTGTTAGTGTATAGTTGTTCATAACAGTCTCTGATGATTTTGTGTTTCTGTGATATCTGTTGTAATGTCTCCTTTTTCATTTCTCATTTTGTTTATTTGTGTCATCTCTCTTCTTTTCTTGGCTAGTCAAGCTAGTGGTTTATTGATATTGTTTATCTTTTCAAAGAACCAAATTTTCATTTCATTGATCCTTTATATATATATTTTTAATATCTATTTCATTTAGTTCTGCTCTGATCTTTATTATTTCTTTCCTTTTGCCAATTTGGGGTTTGGTTTGTTCTTGCTTTTCTGATTCCTTGAGGTGCATCCTTAGATTGTTCATTTGAAAGCTTTCTACTTTTTTGCTGTAAGCATTTATTGGTATCAACTTTATGATACTGATTTTACTGTATTGTGCAGGTTTTGGTATGTTGGTGTTTCCATTTTCATTTGTTTCAAGAAATTTTTTGATTTTTACTTTCTTCATTTATCTGATGGTTGTTCAGGTGTATGTTGTTTAATTTTAATGCGTTTGTACATTTTCCAAAGTTCCTCTTGGTATTGACTTCTAGTTTTATTCTATTATGGTCTGAGAATATACTTGATATGAGTTTGAATTTTTAAAATTTGTTGAGCCTTGTTTTGTGGCCTGATATATGGTCATTCTTGGAAAATGTTCTATCTGCTGATGATAAGAATGTGTATTCTACAGTTGCTGATTAAAATTTCTGTAAATGTCTGTTAGGTCCATTTGGCCTAAAGTCCAATTCAAATTCAGTGTTTCTTTGTTGATTTTCTGTCTAGATGATCTGTCTAATGCTGAGAGTGGGATATTGAAGTCCTCTACTATTATTATATCAGAGTCTCTCTCTCTCTCTTTTTTTAGATCTAGTAATATTTACTTTATGAACCTGGGTGCTCCCATGTTGGTTGCATATATATTTAGAATTTTCATATCCTCTTGCCAAATTCATCCCTTTTTCATTATCTAATGACCTCCTTTGTTTCTATTTACTGTTTTGACTTAAGGTCTATTTTATCTAATAAATGTAAGTACTTCTACTCACTTTTGGTTTTCATTTGCATGCAATATTCTTTTCCATCCATTTTCTTATAGTCTATGTGCATCTTTACAGGTGAGTGCATTTTTTGTAGGCAGCCATATAGTTGAATCATGTTTTTTAAATCCATTCAGCCAGTCAATATCTTGTAAGTGGAAAATTTAATCCATTTACATTCAAGGTTATTATTGATTTGTGAAATTTTGTTCCTGTCATAGTGTTAATTGTTTTCTCATTGTTTTGTGTATTCTTTTTTTCTTTTCTTTTCTCTTATTGTCATTGTTGTGGTCTTGTGGTTTTCTATAGTTGAAACATTTGAGTCCTTTTTCTTTTTTATTTGTGTTTTTGCTCTACCAGTGAGTTTTATAATTTCATGTGTTTTCCTGATGATAAATGTTACCCTTTTGCTTCCAGATTTAAGACTTTCTTGAGCATTTCTTGTAAAGCATGTTGAGTGGTGACAAATTCCCTCAGCTTTTGCTTATTTGGGAATGATTTTATTTCTCCTTCATATATGAGGAATAATTTTTCTGGATATTGTATTCTTGCTTGGAAGTTTTTTTTCTTTTAACACTTTGAACGCATCATCCTATATTCTCCTGGCATATAAGGTTTCTGCTGAGAAATCCGCTGTTAGTCTGATGTGGCTTTCTTTATAGATGACTATATGGTTTTCTCTTGCCATTTTTAGAATTTTGTCTTTGACTTTAGAAAGACTATAATGTGCTATGAAGAAGACTATTTTACATTGTATTATTTGGGTGATCTCAGAGCTTCCTGTGTCTCCATGTATAAATCTCTTGCTAGAAATGGGAAGTTTTATCTCTTATTTTGTTAAATAGGTTTTCTAAATCTTTTGTTCTGTCTTCACCCTCTGGGACCCCCAAAATTTAAATATTTTGTCACTTTATGGTGTCTCATATATCACAAAGGCTTTGCTCATTCTTTTACATTCTTTTTAAAATTTTTTTGTCTCATTAAGTTATTTCAAAAGACCCGTTTTCACTTTCTGAAATTCTTCCTTCTGCTTGATCTTGTCTATTGTTGAAGCTTTCAAATGTATTTTGTGTTTCATTCAATGAACTCTTCAGTTTTAGAATTTCTGTTTGGTTCTTTTTTTTTTTTATAATATCTATCTCTTTGAAAAATTTCTTATTCGTATGCTGAGTGGTTTTTTTTCTGATTTCTTTATATTGTTTTTCAGAATTCTCTAATAGCTTCTTTAGAATCAATAATTTGAATTCTTTTTCAGGAATTTCTTAAATTTCTTTTGATTGGGATCTGCTGCTGGAGGATTATTGTGTTCCTTTGAAGGTATCATATTTCCTTGCTTTTTCATGTTTTCTATGTCCTTAAGTTATCTGCACATCTGATCTAACAGTCACTTCTCCCAATTTTTTGAATTTGCTTTCATAGGGGAGGACATTCTTCTGAAGATGTATGCATGGTGTTGGTTGCCCCAGTGGTGGCAGCAGTGTTCTGAGCATGCTTGTCCTTGGGCCCCAGGGCAGCTTACGCTGGCATTAATGTTAACAAGTTTGGGTGGGCCAATTCTTAGGCCTCCCGGTGGCTTACTAGACGCTGGTAATGGCAGCAGGGAGCCAGGCAGATAGCCATGTTCTCAATCCTCTGAGCATCTGTTGTGGCATGGGTGATGGCACTAACGGTGGCAGGATGACCATCTGGGTCCTGAGTGTTGTATGCTGGTGTTGGCATTGGTTGCAATATGCTGGATGGGCCAGTCACCAGGCGACCTGACATGCAAGTAGATGTCAGCTATGATGGTAGTGGCCAGGTAGGTAGGCCCAACCTCAGGACCCAGGAGCAGAGTTCAGATGCCAACAGTGGTGGACTGGTCTGGGAAATCTCCTCGCCCCCTGCCTGTGTGCTCTGGCTTCAGGGTTAACAAAGTCAGACCAGTTGGGCTGTCCTCATGTGCCCTGATGGTGTGTATAGGTGCTAGCCATAGTAGGTAGGGGTGCAGTGATCTCCAGGCCACCTGTGGAATGCTTAGTTTTGGGGGGGGGTGGCAGTAGACACTCCTGCCCTTCCACTGGAGAGAGTGGTGCAGCCTCCAGTGACTGGAGCCTAGGCTGGTGTGTGGAGAACACATGTGCCACTCACACTACTTCAACCCCTGCAGTGCTCATGCCTGAGCCTCTGGTGTAGTGGCAGATTCCTCTGTCATGCCTCAGCTCTGGGTACATAATAGCTCAATGTCTTTCATAGCTGTGCCCCAAAGGCAGCAGCCTTTGCTTTTCTTGGTCCTCAACCCTGGTGACACTGGACTACAGGGCAGTGCAGTCTGTTGTGGGTAGCTAAAATGGTTCCTTGCCACTGCTACATAGGTCTCAGTGAGTGTGTGGGACCCAGCCTCCCTGTGGCAGTGCCATCGCAGCTACCTATGTTAGTTTCATAGCCTGCAAGGGTAGAGGGGCTCTCCCATGGCTAAGATTACAAGAGACCACAATGGGAATGTGGACCACTGAGGGTCTGTCACTCACCTTTTCCCCATATTTGGGAGTCTCTCTCTCTGCTCCCAGCTGATCCCATCTGAGCAGGCTGTCTTGCTTCCTCCTCCTTTCTTGCTTTTGATATTTCCTGTCACTTTTCTGTTGAATTCCAGTATTCTGGAATTGCTTGATCTATTTGAATTGTGATTACCTACTCATTGTTTTGGTTCTTCTTGGTGGGAGAGGGGATTATGAAATGCCACTAGTCAGCCATCTTGAAGCTCCTGTCGCCTACATTTTTTTTAATGAAAAGATTTGTAACTTCTGGAAGAAAGGCAGTTAGCTGAGGGGGTATTATTCATACTTTAAGTTTTATAATTTCATATTACTTCAAATAAAACTTGAAGTACTCCTGTTTAGAATTACTTATGGGGTAAATATTCAAGTGAAATAATATAAAGATTATTTTCTTGCTTTTAGGGTTTTATTGGCTCTCCTGGAGAAGCAGGAAAATTGGGACCTGAAGGAGAAAGGGTAAGTCCATCTCCTTCAAATATTATTTCTAAAGTGATATATTTATGATAATGTACAACAGGAATCATAAACTCAGATGTCAGGGAAGTATCTTACTGAGTGGGCAAACCAGGATTAAGAAAAATCACCTGCCAGAAATATAATTAGACTTTCTTAAATCTTCCTGAATTTTGTTATAAGAAGTAATGTCTTAGGTATTTTAAATTCAAATTTTAAAAAGTATACATTGAAATATTAAAATATGTAATTATGAAATTTTTATTTTATAATTCACTAATCTTTAATTTAAATATAAATTCTTTTTTTTTTATTTCAGCATATTATGGGGGTACAGATGTTTAGGTTACGTATGTTGCCCTTGCCCCCCCCAAGTCCGAGTTTCAAATATGTCCATCCTTTGGGTGGTGCGCATTGCACTCTTTGTGTATGCATATACCCGTCATAGGTCTTGATTTTGCAGTGCAATGTGCATTAACAAATTTAGCCTCAGAAGATATATTTCTGTTTAATTTCATAATGAGAGATAGCTGTTCATAAATGTAGGTATGTATGAATAAAGATAAAACCTTTGCAAAATGGTTTGTTATACTTAAAAAGATTAATCAAGATATTTGTGGAGTTTTGGCATTATATCTTTATCATATCCAGTTTTCAGTGCTATACAGAGTCCAGTGATTTCCCTTTGCATGCCTTCATTTACACTGTCAGTATTAATTGAAAAAAGTAGAGTTGAATAATGTTATTATATTGTCGTATAGTTTGAAATTAGAGAATTGAACCTTTAACTCTATCATTATAAGTAAGTTCAGGACAAAATTTTCATTTTCATTTCTGGAAAGTGATTTTTGCAAATGAAAGTGAACCAGATTATTTTTTGCTAAATGAATTTTTCAAATATTGGTTTTTTTGAGTAAGTAAATTAAACCACGTTTTCTTATAATTACTTGTAAATACCCCTTCAGAGAAGAAATATTTGAAGAGTTTAAATGCACTGCAATTACAATCAAAATATCCAATCTTCTTTGGTGAGAAGATATGAAGATTTTTCCTTGGTCAACATAACAAGTCATTTCTTCAATAGCAGAAACTACCTTCAGAATAATACCACAGCTAAGCCACTTAATCTTCATGTGATACGGCAGAGTAATAGATGATGTATCCCATAGATCATGCAAAGAATCGAACTGCTTTTTCTTGACCCAAAGGAGTGTATCCAGTTTATATCATTAATTACTCTGCTGCTCATGATACAATCCTGTCTACCTTTTGGTATGAACTTACTTCTAGTAAATGATTTAAAAAATAAACCAAAATTGTATGTCTTCACAAAATATTGTCATTTGGATTTAAGAAACTTAAGCTCAGTGTTGACAGTGACCCTCAATAGGCAGAGTGCTGTAATCCTACTCATTAATTTTGACCAGTCTATATGAAAATATCAAGACCTAACTCAACACAAAAATATAATAAGACCATTTTGTGATATTATATGTATCCTGGGTACCGTGTCCTAATATTATTTGGCTATATCAAAATTCTCATTAAAACCATGAATTATATAGCTAAAAGGTTATTATGTGATAAAATATTTAAGTATTAATATAAAAAATCAGAGGAAAATAATATATAATAATGCTAATCACCCCTGAAGATAAATAGAAAGAAAAAGTTCTTTCTGGAAGTCAGTATTACACAAATACATACATATTGTGTATAAATATATATACACACACATATATGAAATATATACATATATATACACACATATGAAAAATACTTATATAAGTCTATCTGCATTATTTTTAGGTTTCCAGATGAGATT